GGCCCCAGGGTGGGGGAAAAGTGGGGCCGTTTTCCCGGGGGTTCAGGGAAAAAAATGGGGGAAAATTTCCCCCCCCCCCCCCCCCCCCCCACCATTCCCGGGAGTTTCTACACGTTTAGGGGACTAGGACGTAAAGAGTTAATCTGGAAACTGACTTGGGGGGGGGGGGGGTTAAGACAACCTCATATTTAAACACTAAAATATTTTGGGACGTACTACACACTGAAAGCAATTTTATATGGGACATGATGACTTATATGTTGGTGTCCAGGGAGGAGACTTCAAGGTAAGAGAGGTCAAATGAATGCGAAGTGTTAACTTGGATTGTTTCACAAAAGTGTCAACAACGTGCTATTTGAAAATACCCTTGTGTAAGGCTTCAGAACGACTGATCAACAAAAGTGTCCCTTACCATCATTTCAAGTTAATGTGTGGGTCAGTTAGGTTTTCTAACGAAAGTTTGTTGGTGGTGGTGGGGGTGGTGTTTTGTTGTTGTTGTTGTTGTTGTTGTTGTGTGTGTGTGTGTGTGTGGTAGCCTATCCGTTCGAAATGTTCGGAGCCCCGAAGAGTGTGCTCTTCGCCAGGGCCACCGCCTCCCTTGGGTAGCGGGTGAGGCAGTCCAACCTCCCTGAATCCTCCCCGAAGAGATGCCACCGCCGGGCCTCCGTGGCGGGGCATCTCTGCAGCCAGTACCCCAAATGTTGTTGTTGTTGTTTTCGATTTATTTTGTTTTGTTGCTAACGAGTGGCCCTAAGTACGCTAAGCAACATAGTTGACAGTTCGACTTGTTCTGAATTTGGTCGGATTCATTACTTTCATGACATGGTCATATACTCTCCGCTCTTTCCTATCTCTGCACAGGCATTGAGACAAAGTTCAAAAAGCGTCATTACAACGTGCTGGTTAGTCCTGCTTTTGTCCGAGAACTGAGGGAGGTGGCGGTGACCTCCAGCGGGGTCAAGTTCGGCGCGTCCGTCACTCTCACTGATGTGGAGAAACATTTGCGGAGACTAATCGATGAATACCCTGGTAAGTGGGAGTTGTGGTTGCATTAAACGCTGGAGAATAAGCCACTCGGAGCATAAATGGGTGTTACGTTTTTCCACGAGAGGGGGCACAAACATAGAAAAAGTCACAGTGGCCGATAGGCAGAAAATCAAATGCTTAAAAAAAACATGTCATCAACACAATTCATTAACTATCTATTCTTCGAGTGGACATTTTGGTTGGTAGGTGGGAGTGTTACTTTTGGATGTACTTTCGAGGGTGTGTGTGTGGGGGGGGGGGGGGATTTTGTTGGATGGCAAGGAGCGAGTTTTGGGGTACTTAGATGATCGGTAACATTGTTATTCCCCGGAAAGAGGGAGTCGTGGCATGTTTTCTTTTTGTTTTTTAGTTGTTGTTTGTTTGTTTTTGTTTTTTTGGGGGGGTCTAATTATTAAGGTAGAAACAGGTAAAGTTGAAATAAGAGTTTATTAGAAATAACTAATGTTTGGCTTGGAACTTCCGAAAAAAACACAATACTGAGCCTGTATTTTTGTTTTTCTCTATAATTTATTTCCCAGAGGAGAAGACGCGCGTTTTTGCTGCTTTTGTCGAGATGTTGGGCTGGTTTGCTGGGAGACAGATACGCAATGTAGCAGTAAGTACCCCAAAACCCGGCATACAAATGTATATTAGGCCTCCCCGAAGACGTTAAAACCTTATCCTCCGTATCCTCCATCACCTCTTTCGGATTGAGGATCGAAAAGCCATCTTAAAGACATCGATTTTTCTTTAAACACTATCGAAACCTTTACCATGTCCAGAACAGAATATACCTATATGGCGTTTAACTAAACCATGTACGTAAAGATACAAGTCTTGAAAACATAACAGATAGCCTACTCTAACTGTACGAACTGCATACCTAAAAATATAGAACCAACTTATAAACAGATATCCTGAAGCAGAGAAACTCAGCACCAGGTGAGAACAGTAGGCTTTTGTTTTGTTTTGTTTTTTGTCCGTATGGTGCTTTTTGTAGCCTCATTCTTCTCGGTGATTGTAATTGCTGGTAATGTTTGTGTACTGGAGAAAGCAGTCTCGTCTAAGTGTTCTTGAACTCGATGCAATTTGACGATCAAAACAAAGCTATTATTATAACATGCACTTCTTTGGAGGGTGGGTG